AGCCTGACTTAGAGGAGAAATTGTGGCAGAGGTCTCTGCCATCCTTTGGCTTCCGGGTATTTACTGTGTAGCCTGTGGACACTAGAGCTTTCTTGGGTTTCTGGAACCCAGTTTTCTAGCATCTGCCACATAACCATAACTTAACAGAGACAATAGAGTACACAATGGATTAAAATGAATTTTATGTCTCTTGTTGTCGAATAAACCAGAAATAAAAAAAAAAAAAACCTTGTATATAAGAGTTTACATAATTTAGGATTATTTAACAGAGTCAAAAAGAGCTTACAGGACCTAACTCTAGAAATGGTAGAGTAACCGATTAAGCAGACACTGTTAAAACAGACATTACAGTTTTTGCAAAAACAGATTCCAAGATTTATGATTTAGACCATTTTTAGATATTTACTAACATTAGTACACATTTAAAAAAAAACCCATTGTTATAACAGAATATCAGACTTTAACTTTAGGTCAGTGTAATTTTGGCATTAGCACTCAACTCTGTAAACAATATTTTAAAATTGTAAACATTTTAAAACTTTTTATGACTTGTTTACACCTTTTGAAACTTTATACCCATAGTTACTTTTACATAGCCTTGAATTGTCATGTATGGACAACCTATGAGAATACATGTTAACAAACTCAAACAGTTTTTTTTTTTATTGAATTTGAGATGTTAAAAGTATATATATTTTTCCAAGTTTTACTTAGCACTGATGCCTAGATGACTTAAGACACTGAGTTATTAATGAATACCACACCATTATCTGAAATAAAAGTTAAAATTACATTTTTAGGTTTTTAAGTAACATGAGGATAACACATGCTGGACAGCAAACACTAGTGCATGTTTACAACTTTGAAAAGATCTTCCCATTAAGAGAAACAAGTTTAAAGCATATTAAAGACATGTAAAACTGAGCAAGCAAGCCACTGAGCAAACCGAAGGGTGTTTGCATTACCTCAATTTTCTGAACCAATCTGCATTGGCGCACTTTAGTTAACAACATAAAGGCTTGTATACACAAAATTTATTCTTATTTTTATAAGACCATTTTAGCTGGAAAGTAAAAACATAAATACAGTATAGGTCTGACACCATTTATAACATTTTAATATATTTTATATAATTTGAATTGACCCAAGCAGCTGCTACTTTAACAAATTTAGAGTCTCATTCTTTGAGAGTTCCAGGGATCCGGCTGGAAGCCCAAAGTTGGAAGACTCAGTTTAGAATTTAAGCTGTCAGAGTCAAACCATTTACCCAAAATTAGTACATTTCTGATCAGTTGGGTAATCACTCAGACATTAAAAACAGATAAACAATGTAAACAACTTTGCATTGTAGTTTTCCCAATTAAGACTCTAATGGCAATAGAAAAACACGAAATCTTCAAGACAGGTGAACTCTCTCAGATGAGTCAGGGACAGCAGCACAGAAAAGAGCTGATTATCAGCATATGAACCCATTGTTTAGGTTTTTATTAGCTGCAAAGAGAAAAACCGATCAGGTTGGTAAGGGTTAATGGCTTAAAGTTCTGGCTCCCTTAGGTAAGGCCAGCAGTAGTATTGAATTGGAAATTCCTCCAGGAGAGGAGAAAAAAAAAAAAAGCAGCCCTGGGGGTGGGGGCTCTGCCTAGAGATATTTGGCTATGCCTGCCTGGGTGCGGCAGGCCACATGGACTAGAATAGAGTGCAGAGAAAGGCTGTGTTCCCCCATTTACAGGGAAGACTGCACACACCGGGGCCTGGCAGGACTAACCGTGGGGTTGGGTAGGTGTGCCGTTTTACCAAGAGTGTTGGGAACCTCCTATAATTTAACCAAAGCCAGATCAATTAGGACTACTGCAGACACTCAATTACAACAGATAGTTAACTTTAGCTCTTTTCCAGATTTAGTTCTCAGGCAATCAAAGCTTAGCAACAATAATAGTTTACAAAAACTTTAAGACACACCAGAGCTACCATAAGCTGCAAAGATGGAAAACTTTCTACCAGGTTGGGAAGGGTTAACAGGTAACAGCTTTTCCCTAGGTGGAGAGACTTGTGGAATTTCCCTCTCCCTTTCTCCTGGCTAGTGGTATAGGAATGGAGATGAGGAGAGCAAAAGAGTGGGGGAGGGAGCCCCTGGGAGGAGGAGGAAGGCAGAAAGCAATGAAGCTCCTCAGTCTGGGGGCTGAGTGGGGTTTGAAATCTCCTATTGCTCAAGGTTACCCACTACCTAGTTGTCTGAGTTTACCTGAAGGTCCAATATTAGCCTCGACCGAAGCTAAGCCCTGCTCGTGTAGCAGTAGGCAGCGTGACCAGGCATCCCTCCGAGAGAGAGACCTGGTCCTCGGGTCGCAGTCCAGCCACCGGGAAGCCAAAGCAAGCTCAGGGGGTCTCCAGGCTCTCAGCCAACTGCCCTTCCTAATTTCCCTCCCATTCCTTACAATCCCTCTGGAGTTTCGGCCGTAGCTAAGCCGTGGCCGGGGGGACTCAGCGTTCTCAGAGAGCTGTGGGGTACCGGACACTCAACGGTCACTTCCACAGATCTGGTCCTGCTTGAGGGAAGGAATACTGACCTTCGATGTCTTCTTAAAATCCCGGTCCGGGTGCCCATGATGGCCAGGCTGGAGAACGGCCTCTTTCACTCGGCTAATGAGTGGTAAATGGAATGAGCCCTCCGGGGGCCAATCCACTCTGAGAGCAGGTCATTTAGAGGCACAGAAAGACTGCCACTTTACCTTTTTGACTGACAAAGAAAGGTTATGCGCCTAGTGGCTTACCTCAGACCAATGATTCAAAGTTAGAGACAAAGGTGTAGACACAGTCTGGCCCATGTCAGCAAACAACACAATGTACACAAACAGACAAACAGCATAGAGAAGCAGCACACAATGACCACACAAAGTGTCTACCAAATGGGAGCCCTCCGGGGCATCCCATACAAATGCTAAATGGCAAGAGAATACAATCAACAAACAACAAAGCAGCCAACAAAGCACCTTAACAAATACAAAAGACTAACTAGCTCGGTCAAATACCAAAATTTCCGCAGTACAAACAAAACGTGAGTCTCTGCAGTCTATTTCCCTACTGCAGGCAACCCACCAAACAGGAAACACTGGGCATCCCCAGTTATCCCTTTCTCCCGGGGCATCCCCCGGGATGTGGTCTGTGGCTCTGGAGCACATCTGCCTGCAACAGTCGGGTGGAGCTCTCGCTCGAGCCCGACAACCACGCTGCCGATTACAAATAACAAACCTTACCAAACAACAAATCAAAGTGTACATGTTTAATCAAAACAATAGGCGCCATACTCACCCTGAGAGATATCCGTTGGAGGTGTCCACAGGCAGCAGTCAGGTCTCCATGGGACCTCCAAATGTTAGGGTCCAAAAAAAACCCACCGCCCAAGGAACGACTCCAAGAGACTTTTTCTCTCATGCAACCAGCAAAGGGTTAAATTTATTGATCCAACATGTTGGGCACCTCTGAAAATACAAGGACAGAGGAGCTGTGAGGAACTACAGCATAGGGTTTATAAAGGCAAAAACCACAAAATCGGGAGGGGGGAGAGAATACACGGTTGCTAAGCGGTTGCTAAAATCTTACAATCAGCAATTATGATTTTAAGACACAGACAAATCACATCTTCATTATTAGCCCAGGTAACCCAGGTGCAACCTTTCTACTTTTAAGCTTGAGCAATCATGCTAGGGGGTTTTTGTGCATTGCTAAGGGTGATGTAGTGCACTGCTATTGTCCGACTATTTGAGATCATAGTTTCAGACCAGAGTCTCATGGTGGGGGGGTGCTTTCCCAGAATGGAGTCTCAAGTGCTCCAAAATGGAGTCCCTACTGTCAAGGTGCTACTTCACTCTGTTTTATTTTTACAGCTGCACCAGGAAGGTTTAAACCTGTAAGCTTAAGCTTAACTTTTTACACCCATACATATACAATTTTAACTCTTCAGTGGTCTTAGCCATGAGAATTTTAATCTACAGGCTCTGGGTGAAGGGAGCGGCCATGAGCCACCATAAAAGTGGCCTTGATAAAATAGAAAAACAGGAACTGAGACAAACAGTTCCAGAAACAGTCATGGGGGAGTAAACTGGTTCACAGAGAAAGCAGTTAGATACTACTCAGAGGTACGGGCGACAGAACATCCTGTTATGTACATAAGCCCCCTCCCCTGTGCTTGCTCTAGCTTAACAAAGAAAACCGCAAGGCACATAAGGCACATAGCAGCCTGCTTCTCTTCCTCAAACAACCCCCTCCATCATAACCTTTTGACCTAGTACTTTTCCACTGACATTACTTCCCTACCACTTCCAAACTGCCATATTAGGTCAATTGCTGAGAACTATCCAATGAACTTACGCCACCCTATAGTATGTTAATCTTGTGGTTTTGCCCTTTAAAAACTGTGTGAGATGACTGTTCAGGGCTCCTCTCTTTCTCGCTGCTTGTGGCAGCAGAGGGCCCATTTGTGCAAAAGAAATAAAACTGCCTCTTGCTTTTTGCATCGCCTGGTCTGGAGTCTGTGTTTCTGGGGTTGTCACAAAAGGGCACCACTTTTGGGGTCCTTCATTGGGGGCTCATCTGGGATTTGGGAGACCCCAGACTTCCACACTCCATCGGCCTGACGGAGGTAAGTTTGCTTACTTGTATGTTATTGTAATTGTGGTTTGTACTGTTTGTCCTTGTCTGCCAGGGCAACGTGGAATCCATCCTGGGGCGCCTGTGCAGGCTCAATAGTGGACCAGTGGGGGAGACAGACGTGTCCTGAGACCCCTGGTCCCACCCTGGAGGACACTCCAGCGGTGGTCTGGGAAGAGGGGAAAGAGAGCATTTCCCTTCTTCCAGGGGAGAGTCTGGCCAGACGGCCACTCCCATCTGAAATTTTAGTTTCGGTTTTGTCTCAGTCTGTTGCCGCGTGGCTTGTGATTTGTGTTCTGTGTGTCGCTGTTTTTGTCGTTCTTTATTTCTTACTGTCTCCCCCATCTGTCATCATGGGGCAACAATTAACAACACCTTTAAGCCTGACTCTAGGACACTGGAAGGAGGTTCGAGAGATCGTCCGCAGTTTGTCGATGGAAGTCCACAAAAAGGAGTGGGTGGCGCTTTGCACCTCCGAATGGCCCACTTTCGATGTCGGGTGGCTGAAGGATGGAACCTTTAATCTTGACTTAATTTTGCAGGTTAAAGACCAAGTCTGCCGTAAGGGTGGAGGGGGACGTCCAGAACAAGTACCATATGTCGCGGTGAGGGAAGACTTGACCTGGAAGCCCCCGCTTTGGGTTAAGCCTTTCCTCGCACACGGAGACACCAAGGACCGCCAGCAGAAAGATAAGGAGGAAGTTGATGGGGGTCCCAGGCCTCCCCCACTTCCCTCCTCAACTCCCCTAATCCCCGCTCCAGCAGAGACCCCAGTGCAAGGTCCCCCGCCAACCTCCGATCTCTATCCCCTAAAAGAACTCCAACCACTGAAAACCGTATGTCCACCCGTCCTTTCGGGTGGACAGGAGGACCTCCTCCTTTTGGATCCCCCACTGCCTTACAACCATCCAGCATTGAGGGAGGTGCCTCCCTCTGCCCTGTCCCCTGACTCTACAGTCCAAGAATCAGGGGGACCACAACCCACTTCCCTACGAGACCCCTCACCACCAAATACCCGCCTGCGTCTTCGCTGAGAGCAGAGGGAAGGGGGGGAATATTGGGCATCCCAGGCATTCCCATTGCATTCGGTGGGGGGGAAGCTTCAGTACTGGCCATTCTCCGCGTCAGATCTCTACAAATGGAAAACCCACAACCCCCCATTTTTGCAGGACCCTCAGGCCCTCACGGGCCTGATTGAGTCAATTCTGTTAACCCACCAACCCACTTGGGATGACTGTCAGCAGCTTTTACAGGCCCTCCTGACCACAGAAGAGCAGCAGCGGGTTTTCACAGAAGCCCGCAAAAATGTGCCGGGGGATGACGGCCACCCCACTCAGCTACCTAATGAGATTGATGAGGTGTTCCCACTGACTCAACCAAATTGGGACTTCAATACGGCAGCGGGTAGGGAGCGACTCCGTCTCTATCGCCAGGTTCTCCTGACAGGTCTGCAGGGGGCAGGAAGACGCCCCACCAATTTGGCCAAGGTACGTGCGATTGTGCAGGGTAGTGAGGAAACTCCAGCAGGATTTTTAGAAAGGTTAATGGAAGGATACAGAATGTATACTCCCTTTGACCCACAGGCCCCTGACCGACAGGCCGACGTAATCATGTCCTTCATTGGACAATCGGCCCCGGACATCTGCACAAGGCTACAGAGGCTGGAGGGGTTGCAGGGATATACACTGCCGGACCTAGTCAAGGAGGCAGAAAAGATTTTCAATAAAAGAGAGACAAAGGAGGAAAGAGAAGAGAGGTTACGCAGAGAACAGGAATGTAGAGAAGATCAGAGAGATAAAAAGAAAAACAAGGACTTAGTTAAGGCCCTGGCCACCGTAGTTGCAGGGCCAAAGACAAGACAAGACAAGGGCAGGCAAGATAGGGACCAGGGAGACAAATGGAGACCGAGAGTGGAACAAGACCAGTGCGCCTACTGTAAAGAAAGAGGACATTGGGCCAGGGACTGTCCAAACAAGGGACGGCCAAGACCCCAGCAGAGAACTGCTCTGGTCCTGTCATTGGAAGAGGACGAATAGGTAGGCCAGGGCCAGGAGCCTCCCCTTGAGCCCCGGGTAACCCTGATAGTGGGAGGCCGACCAGTCACCTTTCTGGTCAACACAGGAGCCCAGCATTCAGTTCTTACCACAGCTGAGGGCCCTTTCAGTTCCAAGACATCATGGGTCCAGGGGGCCACCGGAGGAAAACTGTATAAATGGACTACTGAGCGTAAGGTCGACCTGGCAACAGGGCGGGTCACGCATTCGTTCCTACTGGTACCAGACTGCCCATACCCCCTGCTGGGAAGGGATCTTCTCTCAAAGGTTGGGGCCCAGATCCATTTCCAAGACAAGGGAGCCACAGTAGTCAGCCCCGCAGGTCAACCCCTCCATGTGTTGACCCTTCGGCTGGAAGACGAACACCGCCTTCATGAGTGCCCCCTACCAGCTCAGCCCCAAGTAGCATCTGAATGGCTTACTAAATTCCCCCAGTCTTGGGCAGAGACGGGAGGAGTAGGGCTTGCTGTCAGACAGCCCCCGGTGATAGTAAACCTGAAGCCCACGGCCACTCCCGTATCTATCCGCCAATACCCTATGGCTGTGGAGGCAAAGGTCAGAATTTGGCCACACATACAGAGACTAATAAAACTGGGCATATTGAGACCTTGTCAGTCACCTTGGAATACCCCTTTGTTACCAGTCAAAAAGCCTGGCTCCAATGATTACAGGCCAGTGCAAGACCTACGAGAAGTAAACCGTAGGGCTGAGGACATTCACCCTACGGTCCCTAACCCATACAACCTGCTGAGCACCCTGCCCCTGACCCGAACTTGGTATACGGTGCTTGACTTGAAAGATGCCTTCTTTTGCCTAAGACTGATTCCCCAGAGTCAACCTCTCTTTGCCTTCGAGTGGAAAGACCCGGAAACTGGGTTTTCGGGACAACTAACGTGGACCAGACTTCCCCAAGGGTTCAAGAACTCCCCTACGCTGTTTGATGAAGCCTTACACCAGGACTTGGCAGATTTCCGGGTAAGCCACCCAGAGTTGACTCTCCTACAATACGTGGATGACCTGTTGTTAGCTGCAGAGACTGAACAGGGTTGCACTAAAGGTACGGAGGCCCTACTCCATAGGCTGGGAGAGTTAGGATACAGGGCCTCCGCGAAGAAGGCCCAACTTTGCACCCAACGCGTGACCTACCTAGGCTACGTATTGGAGGGGGATGGAGGTGGTTGACTGAGGAACGTAAGAAGGCTGTAGCGCTCATCCCGCCACCTAGAAATGCTCGCCACCTCAGGGAGTTCTTGGGCAGCGCTGGCTTCTGCCACCTCTGGATACCAGGTTTTGCAGAAATGGCAGCGTCCCTGTACCCCCTAACCAGGACGAATTCCCCGTTCATCTGGGGAAGGGAACAACAATTAGCTTTTGACAGAATAAAACGAGCCCTCTTGGAGGCCCCTGCATTAAGCCTCCCAGACCCCGCTAAGCCCTTTACCCTCTATGTGGATGAAAAGGGGGGAATGGCAAAGGGTGTCTTAACTCAGAATTTGGGGCCCTGGAAAAGACCTGTGGCGTACTTTTCAAAGAAACTGGACAGTGTTGCCTCAGGGTGGCCCCCTTGCCTCCGCATGATTGCAGCTGTGGCCGTCTTGGTGAAAGACTCGGACAAATTGACTCTGGGGCAACCACTCACCATAGTGGCACCCCATGCCATCGAGGCCATCATCCGCCAACTGCCAGACAGATGGCTCTCGAACGCCAGGATCACCCACTACCAGGCTATGTTGCTCAACCCTGAACAGGTCCGGTATAGGACTGCTGCCTCGCTCAATCCGGCCACCCTGCTTCCTGAGCCAGGGTCTGAATCACAAGTCGACCACGACTGCCACCAAGTGTTAGCCGAAGTGCACGGGACCCGAGAGGACCTGACCGATCTACCCCTGTCAAACACAGTCACCTGGTATACGGACGGGAGCAGCTTCTTGCACCAAGGTGAGAGAAAGGCAGGGGCAGCAGTGGTGGACAGGGAAACTGTCATATGGGCCTCTGCTCTGCCCCCAGGGACTTCGGCACAGAAGGCTGAACTTGTGGCCCTCACCCAAGTGCTTCGTGCCGCTAAGAATCGGAGGGTAAACATTTATACCGACAGCCGTTACGCCTTTGCCACTGCGCATATACATGGGGAAATATATCGGAGGAGAGGGTTGCTAACCTCAGGGGGCAAGGATATCAAAAATAAGCAGGAGATCCTAGATCTCCTACAAGCCCTCCACCTTCCAAAGAAAGTGAGCATCATCCACTGCCTAGGTCATCAGAAAGGAGATGACCCAGTGGCCAAGGGAAATAGAATGGCGGATGAAGTAGCTAAAACAAGGGCCCTGGACAGCGTCACTCTAGTAACGCAGTCATCAGAAACCACAAATAACCCTGGGTGGTTATATTCGGAGGAAGATGTGACAGCCATCCAAAGACTGGGAGGCGCGTACAATGACCAGCGTAAGGTCTGGGAGATCCAGGGGAAAACAGTACTGCCAAGAAAGGAAGCCAAGGACCTTATAAAAGACCTTCATAGATGGACCCACTTGGGGCATAAAAAGTTAAAGGCCCTACTGGACAGAGAGGAACTAACCTACCTCATAATAGGACTGGACTCATTAGCAAAACAAGCAACAGAATCCTGTGTTCCTTGTGCAAAAGTAAATCCAAAGGGTATTAAAGTACCAGAGGGGGCAAGGATGCGAGGGGCATGCCCGGGAACAAACTTGGAGGTGGACTTCACCGAGATCCATCCCAGTAGGTATGGAATTAAGTATCTCCTAGTATTTGTAGACACTTTTTCCGGCTGGACAGAGGCTTTTCCGGTGAAAAAGGAGACAGCACAGGTGGTGGTCAAGAAAATCCTGGAAGAAATCTTTCCGTGGTTTGGCCTGCCTAAGGTACTGGGATCCGACAATGGGCCAGCCTTTGTCTCCCGGGTAAGTCAGTTGGTGGCCAAGGTACTGGGGATTGATTGGAAATTACCTTGTGCTTATAGACCCCAGAATTCAGGACAGGTAGAGTGCATGAATAGAACAATTAAGGAGACCTTAACCAAATTAATGATGGAGACTGGCACTAGAGACTGGGTCGAGTTATTACCGATGGCCCTATTCTGGGCCCACAACACTCCCTCCGCGTTCGGGTTAACTCCGTATGAGATATTGTACGGGGGTCCTCCCCCAATAGCTGACTTATTGGGACCCAGCATTGACTCTTATGCCACTTCCCCCAGTCTGCAGACCCAACTGAGAGCTTTGCAGCTGATTCAAAAGCACATGTGGAAACCTCTAGTGGCAGTGTACCAATCCAAGTGCCCTACAGTGCCACACCCTTTCCAGATTGGAGATTCAGTGTACGTCCGCAGACAGTCCAGGACCCTCGAGCTGCATTGGAAGGGACCCTATACAGTGCTGCTGACGACACCCACTGCAGTGAAAGTCGACAGGATTGCCGTTTGGGTTCACGCTTCTCACGTCAAGAGGGCACCGCCGGAGGGAGGAGGCCCCGCGGACGACTCAGCCAAATGGACACTCCAACGCACTCAAAACCCTCTCAAGATAAGACTTTCAAAAGCTGCATAATGTTTGCAATTATTTACCCATTGCTCATATTGCTTATGATTCACCCTAGCCTCACCCTATCCAGCTCGTCCTTCCCTAACCCCCATGGGCCACAAAAGCTCACTTGGGAGGTGATCTCTCCTTTGGGTAGCGTGGCCTGGTCGACCAGCGACACTCGGGTACCAGGAACGTGGTGGCCTTCCCTCCACCCAGATGTATGCCAGATAGTCCTGGGACTAGATTCCTGGGATCTACCCGATCAGGAAGATATCCCTCACAACCCCTCACCTCCGTTAGACTTCATTCATCCCCCGGGATCCTACCCCGTAGCAACGGGATGTAGAACCCCAACTCGGAGATGCCAACTCCGCCAACCAGAATTTTATGTGTGCCCCAGGGATGGTAGAAGAAAGGATCAGATCTACCGGTGTGGGGGGCCGGAGCTCCTATACTGTAAGGCTTGGGGGTGCGAAACTACAGGGGAGGCATACTGGAAGCCTTCCTCTTCTTGGGATTGTATTACTGTGAAGCGTAATACCACTGTTGCCCACTCGGGCTCCTATCTAGCCAACAGTGCCTGCCAGAACACCCCCTGTGGAAGCTCCCCTACATGCAATCCCCTCAATATTACCTTTACCACTTCAGGAAAGCAATACACAACGCTGTCCTAGTTGGATGAAAGGAAGAATCTGGGGTTTGCGCTATTATGCTACTAATAACAATTTTGGGTTTTGGTTCAAAATTAGACTAAAAGTCACCTCACCCGGCCCCCTACCGGTAGGGCCCAACAGGGCCCTGGCCCCTGCCAACCGACCGCCCCGGCCTGAGATGACTAAGCAGCCGACTCCTAAGGGAACAGGCCCACCAGCGCCGACCTCTGAGAGGACAGGCCCACCGGTTCCCCTCGCAGGCCTACCTGCAGGAGAGAGAGCGATGTTGCTAATACGAGGCACCTTTTCGGCATTGAATCGGTCTCACCCTAACCTAACCGACCCCTGCTGGTTATGCTGCCCGCAAGCCCACCCTCCTATGAGGGAGTAGCTGTCGTTGGAACCTTCAATACCTCCTCGTCCCACCAGCAGTGCCCTTCCATTAAACCCTTGATAACTTTGGCGGAGGTCTCAGGGAAGGGATCCTGTGTTGGGGACCCACCCTCAGCCTACCGGTGCCTCTGCAACACCACTGCCAACTCCTCCCTGGTGGACTGGAACTCATACCTGGTGCCACCTCCCGGAACCTAGTGGGTGTGCTCTCATGGCCTCACTCCCTGTGTGTCCACCGCTGTCCTTAACGGGACCGGGTACTTCTGTGTCCTGGTAGCAGTCGTCCTGAAGGTGATTTACCACCCAGAGAACACACTCGAGGAGCGGTACAGCAACGCTATAACCAGGTTCCATAGGGAACCGGTCTCTGTGACCCTAGCGGTGCTACTGAGCTTTGGGGTAGCGGCCGCTGGGCTGGGCATGGGGACAGCCGCCCTAACCCAAGGAAACAGTAGGTTGGCAATCCTCCAACAGGCAGTGGACGGAGATATAATGGAGATAGAACAGAACCTCCAACGACTACAAGAGTCCCTCACCTCCCTCTCAGAGGTAGTACTCCAAAATCACAGGGGCTTGGACCTGTTGTTTCTAAAAGAAGGAAGGTTATGTGCTGCCCTCAAAGAAGAATGCTGCTTCTACATAGACCACTCTGGGGTAGTAAAAGATTCTTTAGCCAAACTAAGAGAGCGGCTGGAAAAGAGACGACAAGAAAGGGAACAGACTCAGAGCTGGTTTGAGGGATGGTATAACAGGTCACCCTGGTTGACAACCTTGCTCTCCACCATAGCGGGCCCCCTTATTATCTTAATCCTAATTCTGACCTTCGGGCCATGCATTATAAACCAATTACTCCAGTTTGTTAGGGACAGGCTGTCCACCGTGCAGGCATTAGTCCTCACGCAGCAGTACCAAGCCCTGGCCACCAGTGACTGTATTGAAACCCCTCACCAACAGCTTTAACAGTAACAGGCACACAATTTTAGGATTAAAATTAGTTCAAAGAGAAAATGGGGGAATGAAGGGAGCGGCCGTGAGCCGCCATAAAAGTGGCCTTGATAAAATAGAAAAACAGGAACTGAGACAAACAGTTCCAGAAACAGTCATGGGGGAGTAAACTGGTTCACAGAGAAAGCAGTTAGATACTACTCAGAGGTACGGGCGACAGAACATCCTGTTATGTACATAAGCCCCCTCCCCTGTGCTTGCTCTAGCTTAACAAAGAAAACCGCAAGGAACATAAGGCACGTAGCAGCCCGCTTCTCTTCCTCAAATGACCCCCTCCATCGTACCCTTTTGACCTAGTACTTTTCCACTGACATTACTTCCCTACCACTTCCAAACTGCCATATTAGGTCAATTGCTGAGAAACTATCCAATGAACTTACGCCACCCTATAGTATGTTAATCTTGTGGTTTTGCCCTTTAAAAACTGTGTGAGATGACTGTTCAGGGCTCCTCTCTTTCTCGCTGCTTGTGGCAGCAGAGGGCCCATTTGTGCAAAAGAAATAAAACTGCCTCTTGCTTTTTGCATCGCCTGGTCTGGAGTCTGTGTTTCTGGGGTCGTCACAAAAGGGCACCACTTTTTGGGTCCTTCACTGGGAAGACACAAAACCCATGAACTGTGGGATTGCTCTTGTCATTTTTTTAGTGCCTGTTTGTTGATGGATGTAACAGTGACCATTGAATGACAGAGTGGCTGTTTTTGGAGGTAGAAGCACACAAGTGTCCAAAAACCAGCATCTAAACAGATGAAGTGACTTGCTCTTCACATTAGTTGGCAGATGCATTCTTTTTCAGAGAGTGAAGATGATACAGAATCCAAGTTGGAGAGGGCAGTTTGTAGGGAGGGAGGTGTGGTCAGGAAAATGAACTAAGGGTGAAGCCTTTCTAACAGTGTTCTCACAAGCATGCATCCAATAAAAGCAATTTGAAAGATGAAATTTAGCCATTCCTTAGCATTATATATGACAGTGTCATTCACCCTGTTATCATAAATGACTATGATTTTTCAGGGTGCTGTATAATAGTTGTTTATACTCTAGGGAAAATGAGAAGACTTGGTATATGTACTTTAGAAAATAAAATATTGGCAATCTATCACAGATTATCATTTTATTATAAAATTTTAAAATTTAAAAGCCATGTTTCTTTCCACCATGACTATTATGGACATGCATTGGTTGTTCAATAAGTATTTGTTGAATCCAATAATAAACAATGAACAGATGAGTAAAAGCATATTGATGGGCCGGCGCCGTGGCTCACTAGGCTAATCCTCCACCTTGCGGTGCTGGCACACCGGGTTCTAGTCCTGGTCAGGGCACTGGATTCTGTCCCGATTGCCCCTCTTCCAGGCCAGCTCTTTGCCATGGCCAGGGAGTGCAGTGGAGGATGGCCCAAGTACTTGGGCCCAGCACCCCATGGGATACTAGGATAAGTACCTGGTTCCTGCCATCGGATCAGCGCAGTGCGCCGGCTGCAGCTCCCGGCCATGGCAGCCATAGAAGGGTGAACCAACGACAAAGGAAGACCTTTCTCTTTGTCTCTCTCCCTCTCTCACTGTCCACTCTGCCTGTCAAAAAAAAATTAATTAATTAAAAAAATTAAAAAAAAACCAAAAAGTTAAAAAAAAGCATGTTGATGAATTTCTTGAGAAAAAAATAAATCAAGGATTGGATTAAGATGGAGCAATAGAGGGGGCTTACTGTTGTGGAAGATAGTATGAAAAAAGTGGAGAGAGTACAGTCTCAAGGAAGAGTTAGGGAAGAAATGGCAGAGGAAACTCCACACAAATTAAAGGGACACTGTGGACCATGTGCAGGGTGTGGACATGCACAACTCAGAAACCCAGCAGCCAACAACCTCAGCAGCAGCTCAGGAAGTGAGACCAGACTGGAGCAACCCAAGCCACTGGTGATAAAGTTGCAGAAAGATCCTGGTGGGAATCCAGCTAGGAGCCCTAGGTAGGACAGTGTACCTGCCATGTTTCTGTCTCCCTGACCACCCTGAAACTGGCATTCTGTAACAAGCTGATAGAGAGCAGGCATCATTTTGGACATATGTAATAGATGCACCAGTGTCTGCACACCCAGCAAACAGCAGAGCAGAGAAACTTGAATTTGGTGGGGAGAACTGATGCGGGGCTGGGTGCTCATGACTGTTGGGAGGCTTGTGTGCTGGGACTGTGAGAACACTGATGCTGTGTGGGAGGGCTCAGGGTGTGGCTGGGACTTTGGGCAGTCACTGGGAAGTTGCATGTACTCAGGGCTCACTGATTACCTGGTGAGGATCACTGCATATCGGTCTCCCACAAATGTGCCAGGGGTCAGAATATGTGTGGAATCCACTGCTGCTTTCCCAGGAGCATTACTATAACTGGTTTGGAAGTATAGCAGCCAGAATTCAAATCAGCACTCATATAGAATTCCAGTATTGTAGGAGATGGCTCAACCCATTATTAAACAACAGCTCCCTCTCCTGTCTTCTGTGGTGAACTATTTCTAACATGCTTACTATTTAGAATTAAGCGTTGTTTTGTGTGGCATCTTACGTATTGCACTATAAAATTTAATTTATCAGGTACATTTTTCCTTTTTCTTTTTTAAAAATGATTTATTTATTTACTTGAAAATCAGAGGTTACACAGAGCGAGAAGGAGAGGCAGAGAGAGATAGGTCTTCCAACTGCTAATTCACTCCCCAGTTGGCTGCAATGGCCAGAACTGTGCCTATCCAAAGCCAGGAGCCAAGCATTTCCTCCGGATCTCCCATGAGGGTGCAGGGGCCCAAGGATTTGGGCCATCTACTACTGTTTTCCCAGGCTATAGCAGAGAGCTGAATCAGAAGTTGGGTAACTGGTACTCAAACCGGTGCACATATGGGATGCTGGTACTCTAGGCAGAAGCTTTACCCACTATGCCACAGAGCTGGTCTCAGTATATTTTTCAAGGATTTTGTTTTGCTTTGACTTTCATTCTTTAAACAGTGTTTTGAAAAGAAGTTTTTGAGGCCATGCTATGGCATAGTGGGTAAAGCTGCTGCCTGCAGTGCTAGCATTCCATATGGGTATGACTTTGAGTCCTGGCTGCTCCACTTGTGATCAAGCTCACTGTTATAGCCAGGGAAAGCAGCAGAAGATGGCCCAAGTGCTTGGGTTCCTGCACCCACATGGGAAATCCAGAAGAATCTATTGGTTCCTGACTTCAGATCAGCCCAGCTCTGGTCATTGTGGCCATCTGGGGAGTGAACCAGCAGATGGATCCTCTCTCTCTCTCTCTCTCTCTCTCTGAGTCTGCCACTCTGTAATTCTGCCTTTCAAATAAATAAATAAGTCTTGAAGAAAAGAAGTTTTAGACTTTGATTAAGTGTAAATTATCCCTGTACTCAATTATAGATTTTAATTTTTTCTTGTATCTAGGAAATCTTTGCCTAACTTAAAGTGAAAAAAAATTTCTTCTATGATTTCTTTTTCTGGAAGTATTGTAGTTTTCAGTACTACAGTTAGATCTGTGGCATATTTTCTTTTTAATTTTATAAATAGAAGCTATTTTATTGGAAATTAGTATCTCATTGT